AATTCAAAATCGTTTTTATCTCGTTTCAATGAATATTATTTGCCGAGTTGAACGAGAGTAAAATTTTAGGGAAATTTCAACGAACGATCAGTTAATCTTCTGAGTTCTTGAATTATACAGAGTGTCCTTTTTTTTCCATTTTTTTCTTCGTCTTCTTTCCCTACATCAAAGAAACCTGTTGCACGGCGAGACGTAACGAGAGAAATTCACAGGGAAGAAATGGGAAAAAAGGGAGACGTTTTCCGCGACAATTTCGCAGTTTCCGTTTAATATCATACTGTGTGTGAAACGTCAAACACGATATATATCCATAAAATAAGGAGATCTTCGATACATGTTTCAACAAGTGAATCGAACCTCATTGTGATACAAAAGTGTGTACTTCAGGGTAAGTACGAATTATACGGAGTTTAACCTCATATTTCCATTAATTGCATTGCTCTTTCATATAAAATTATTGAATTGATATAAAAATGATATCAAATCTTTTATAATCTGATTAAATTTTATTCATCGATCATATTAAAGAAGAAGGAATTTTCTCGTTTATAATATACGTATTTGACGATATATATCAACAAGGTATATATAAAAACAATTATCCTGTTATATGATTGTCAGAATATTCGCGTGATGATCGATATCAGATTCAAAGAGAGGATTGTTCTATAAAAACATATTTTGTATTTGAGAAAGATGAAAATAAGAGAACAACTTGTGTACATATTGTGTATACACGTTATGTGTGCGTGGTGTATGATAATTCTTTTTATTGAAAGTGATTGAAAATAAAAATACAAAAGAGGAAAATATTCTAGAAATTTTTAAAATTGATAAAGACAATTTTTTTAACAAAAACTTAAAGAAAATTTTAACATTTCAAGTTGTAAAAGTAGAGAAGTTTACAAATGCAAATTTCAATGATACAATCACATAAAGAAATAATTTAGCAAGTTTAATTAAAAAATTGCTTTTCTGTAAAAATTAGAAAATTATGTATTTTTTTTTTTGTAATTTTTCTTGTGTGAACTTTATTATTGTAATTATGATTATTGTATTTAACTGAATGAGTAAAAGAAGAATATTTATAACATTAAATAATTTTATGTAGTAACACTATCATTTCTGAAGAAAATTACTCGATATTGGAGAATTATTTGATAATGGTTTAAACTCGTTATATTCTGAGAGTACAATTATAGAAGGAACATGGTAAATACTTGTACATACATGATATGCACGTGAAATTAATAAAGGTACAACACACATTGGTAAATAAATGGAAATCAATCAATAGATACATGGATAATGCAGAATTTAAAATGACAAAAATGCCTATATAATCAAAAAATTAGATTTTTAATATTTTCATTCATTAGCATGAATTTTTATTTATTTTTGAATTGTCTACACAATTTTTTAATGAATAAATTATCTTCGTGTTTGAACAATTTTTTAAAATTTAATAATATCTTTACAAATCATATTTTTACCTTTACTATAACTGCATTTATTTATTTTTTAGTTACGTACAAATTACACATTACAATACAACAAAAGCACTTTTGATATTTTAAAAAATTGTTTTTTCTATAAAATAGATTTTCACCACAAATATTTTTTCTTTTAGAAAAACAAATCGTGCATATTTAAAAAAAAAAAAGGAAAAAGAGGAAAATATATACGATTAAAAAAAAATACTTTTATATCAGACGATATTTGATACGTGTTAATTTAACATAAATAATATGCGACAATGTAATTCGATAATATTTTCCATTTTAAAAAATGGAATTATATTTCAAATTATTGGTGATTATATGTATGATAAAATTCGATTCAAAGTAATCTCGAATAGAAAATCATAGGCACAATAACAACCGTTCATTATTACATCTTCCGCCATCATAATTCATCACAGTTGTCAAAATGGAATATTGATCTTTTCGTTAATGCAAATTCTCTAATAACGCAATTACACGAGATTGATTGTTCTTAATATAATAGATCAACCTTTGCAGTACAAGATAACGAGCTTATTTGTTCGAAAATAAAATCTCTAAGGTTGTCCGTTTAATTTAAGAACCGGAAAGGAGAAAGATAAATCGATTCCATCGATATCCATTAATGCCGACCCTCGACACCAGCCTTAGTTTCGAAGATAATAACTTTATTTTCCTTCCTTAATATGATCCCTTTCGAGTGCGCTTATTGTTTTCGTTATATAAAAATTTCGATTAGTCGATGATGGTAACAGAGCAAATATTTACTTTAACATTATGGAAATTTTAAAATATTTACTCTCTTGCTTTTTCTTTTCATTATGAAAGTATTTTATTTTATTTTATATTTAATAATATAGAATAAAAATTTTATATTTTATTTAAATAAATCAATTAAAATATTTAACACGATTTAACATATACATTAACATGTATGTATTGTATTAATATTTTATGCAATTTATACGGGTATTGTATATTGTATTATAAACATAATAGTCGTTTTATGATCTTAACAGATTTATTCTTTATCAATCCTTCGATTGAATTGGATATGTTATCGAATATTATACGTTAAATTTTATTTTAATGTAAATATTTATATATTTTCAATACTAAATAATATATATATTGTTTTCTATGAAGAAGAAAAATAGCTAAATTCTGTGCATTCTTCTTTTCCTTTGTGTGATCACATAATAAAATATCAAATCGAATTTTTTTCAATGCATATTCTATTTAATTTTTCTAGAGATAGATGAATTATAAATAAAACATTGAAAGATAAGAGAAGAAAACACTTATCATAAATTATTCTAATTGATTGAACTATATGATTATACTATGTATAAATCATTAGATATTATTAATCATTATTCAATACCATGGAAAATAGATGAATGAGAATCCATTATGTTTTCATTTAACATTGTACCATGTTAATAAATCATTCGTAATTGAACAATGAAATTTCTTTCCATTAGCTTTTATCTATCATATTTCTTCGTGCATTTTAATTATCGTTATTAATTGATCACATTAATTGGAAATTTCGCGATTTTTCTTTGTTTTGTTGAGAATATTTTGAAAAGAGAATTAATATCACTGTCGCAAATATTTTGAATCTATTTGATCCAACTTTTTTTTTATTAAAAAATTAAAGAGAAATGTTAAAAGATGAGAAATATGCGTTGACGATTATTATGCAGATTTATGCGGATCGACATATATTCTGATTTGTAGGTATGTGGACATCATAAAATAATATATATAATATTATTGAATAATTTAATTTGAAATCTTTAAATAATTAATAATTTATACTATGGGAATGTTTAAATAAACAAATTCGAAAATATCAAAATCCAAAAATAGAAGATATTTATAAGAATTTTTACAAATTGAGTAGAAAATAATAACAGAATGTCAAGCGGTTATAAGAGCATAACTGTGAATTAATGAGAAGAAAATTGAATTATCTTTCATTACCAGTGAGGTAATAAATTCAATACAAAATAAAATAAAAATCATATTAAAATATCACGTAAATGTAATAATGGTATTAAATTTTATTTGAATATATTGTGTTTGAAACCATCCATTACCAGTCATAATAAAAAATTACTTTTATTCAAACTTCATTTGTTATTTTTCTCAGGTTTGCTTTGTATACGAGGTGAAAACAATATGTTATTCCAGGAGAATAAAATCTCTTGTTCAAATCTAAGCAACATAAATGGATGCCGACTTCAAAGAGACATCTCCATTTTGGAGATATTATTGTTTCACGAGAACAGAAATTCAATGGATTTTCCTTGTAGTGCATGGACTCGTCTTTGAATCAAATATATTTTACATTTCGTGAGAAATTTGGCATCGTTTTTATAAGAGATTTTGAAAAACATGATATTTCACACCTTGCTCTTCATCCTTTCAGATTAACAATGGAAAACATCTTTTCAAAGCTTCCGAAATAACTTTCAAAGCTTTTTCTTTAAAATAAAGTTATGCGTTCTCGAAATCAGATTTATCGATTCCATCTCCTTTACGCAGCAAGTTTCACGCCGGCTATGAATTCTGTATTCCTTTTAACGCGATCGATTGTTTGCCTTGCTCTTCTAAAAATTCCCATCAAATTCTATCTAGACTCTTTTTTATGAGAAATATATTATGCGAAGTAGAGACACGATCTCATTGATCGAAAAGATAGAAAATAATAGTTGCATAAACTTTTTATTTGTTTAATTTGTTTAATGATGGCCATGAAAGTTTTATTACAAATTCTCAATGCTGCGAGTGAGATAATTCTTTCATGAGAATGCGGAAGGATGGTAACACGAGATATCTGGAAATAAAAAAAAAAAAAAAAGAGGAAACTCAAAAAAGAATCTAAAACTTTTAATTTAAACGCAATTGATATGGAATAAAATTATTCATATATGCGTTTATTAAGATGTCAATAATAGGAAATATGGAAATGTCCACTGTCTATGAAGATGAGGTGAGTGTGAAAAATGGACGTACTATAATGACAATAAAGCTACGTATAAGAAAACGTGCGGAAAGAATGGAATGAAATAACTGATAACAAGCCTGTTAATACGAAATTAATTATAATTATTAACCTAAATCTGATCTAAAAACTTATAATCTTTTTTCTTAATCGTTGAGGCCAAAATGGATTTATATTCATCATCATATTTCTTTCACAAAACATTGTTAACATTCAATAAAAAATCAAGAAACTTTTCTTTTTCAATCGGAAAAGTATCGAGTATCGTTTGAATTACGTTACAGTATCTTGATGAATCAAAGTAGCGCGAAAGAATTTCTTCCCTACTTTATATGAAACGAGGAAAAATAGAAATAATGAAAG